CACTTTTTCACATAATGGAATTAACTAAAATATTTATGTATATCTAAACACTTATTGCGACTAATGAAACCATTCCGCACCGGTTTTCAAGACTGCAAAAATGGACTTAAAATAGGCGTTTCTCAACCTAATTGTAATGTATGTAAATACTTATATGTTGGAAACTACTATTAACTTGTCGAACGATTCCTAATCTTTGACAATACATTCATTCACCACGATCTTGAAAACTGACCAAATCGGCGTGACCAAGTCCATGGTCATTTTAATATTATATAAACATTAAAAGGTTTGAAATAAATCTCGTCCAACTTTTTTGTATTTTTCACTTGGTTGCTGAAGTAATGAAGAATTTAAAATTCATATGGGAAAATCATAGTTTTCTTATTTTTTATTTTAATATCTTAAAATCGTGTAGACTTATTGAAAAATGATAAATGAACGTGAGGTTCTAAATTTAATAGCCCTTAATTTGATATATCGTCCTGTTTATAACAATAACGCATTCCATAGATATTACAAGCCAAATTTTCATTTTCGAAATTCATACACTTTGATTCAATTGCGCGGGCTAAATATAAGTTTTAAATTAATCTTTCGTAGCCAATAACAATTGGCTGAGACCTAAGACATCATAATATTACTATTACAATGCGGTAAATGACTTTTATTTTCCCCCATACAAAATCGACCCAGCCTATTGCTCAGTTATATAGCTGAAGAAATAATAAGTTTAAATACATTTTTGTCTAAGTTGATAAATGTGAACAGTTTTGTTACACAAATACTCCCACGACCACAGGCAAAAATATTGGCTACAATTTTTCATTTTGTTTGCCATATATACGTTTTATCGGTGCACTTGCACAACATTCGTATTCGCAAAAGCTCCGCATTGATTATTGCGAATGCGAAAGCGAATTCGAATCTTAAAAATAATGCGGAAGCTTCGCAGTTGCGAATGCGAATATTCGCAACAACTCTGGTACAAATATCAGAACCGTAACCAAACTGTCTTACTTATGCCATTTTCTAAAAACAAAAACTTTCTAAAATGAAACTGCAGTAGTGTTCATCTTATGTCGATAATTCTTGTCACAAATACCTGTAGCCCGTTTCTGAAACTCTTCTCTACCGATTGTTTCTCTACTGGTAGAGAATATACGTCATTCTCTACTACTCCATTAGCAGTAGAGAACAGGGCGGCGAATTAATATCTCAATTCACCTTGGTAGAGAATTGTTACAGAAACGAGCTACTGGTTTCTTGCTTATATTTATGCATATATATTTTTGAGCAGCGCCACACCTTAACAGAAAATTCCGAGAATCCAAAATTGGTACTGTTACAAGTTGCATGGCATCATTTTAACTCGATCTCCACCCTCTTCCACGGATAACGGTACATCGGTTAGAGGTTTAAAAATATTTTGTGTCAGCAATTTGTCATCAAACTGCATTAAATCGTATTACGTACTCTATCCTCTATCCAAAAAACTTTATTTTCGAACGTTTGCACAGGTGTATCAAATTCCTTCAGTTTGAAAACGCGCAAGACTTTTTAATGTTTTCATCCAACTTCACTAACTTAAAATTTTTTTTTTACTTTTTCAAGAAACAAAAATTTTTCTGCTAGTGAATTTGGTAGCATGGTTTTAATGAAATGTCATAAACTTATTAAAAGTCAAGTGGTCGGCAACAACAACGAATGTCAATAAATGAAACTACCTTCTATTTTTGTATCATGCTATCTTGCATTTTACTTAATTTTGTACAAGTTCTCCCGATTGGTTTTTAATAATTTCCATTTTGTTTTATCTAGACACATCACTCACCACAGGCAATTTTTACAAGCTTCAAGCTGGAAAAACATGCCTTGGGAAATGCGTCTGCTCAGCCAGTAAGTAATGACAAGCCGGACTTTGATTTGGGTAGCTCCCATACCGCCAACGTGGCAATGCCGGGGACGGGACCATCAACCGGAAAGCCCTTTATGGGTGTGTCAATTCCAGCAACCGACACTACCTCACTGTATATGAGCACAGGTGCGTATCAGGTAGCTACAAGCCCCGCAATGAAAGGAAACACACTCCTGACATCCTTTGGTATTGCGGAGTCTGGATCCACTGAAGAATTTTTAAGGGAATTTGCATCGACAGTAAAATTAACTGCGCAGCGAAGCACAGCATCGACGACGGAGCTAAAAAAAGGCACCGTAAAAGATCAAACGAATCAGAGGCGGCGCAGTAAAAAGTGCGCGAAGGTGATGTTTATCATACTTAGTATTATATTTTTATAAGGCAAGATTATTTTACCTTGAAAATGAAATACGAATTGGAACCGAAGTCCGTATTCGTATTCAGCATAACGAGCCCTAACCGCCAAAAGGGCGTAAGCGACAAAAAGTTAATTTCTCTGTAGGCGTTTTCTTATTAACACTGCAATAACTGTAGATGCTAACGTGAAGGTCAATGAACACGTTAAGTTTGATGTTAGATATATAATACTGGTAGTTTTATTGGCCCATCTTTAATAAAACAGGTGATTTTGTCGCTACGCCCTTTTCGTCGTTATAGCGCGCAATAGCGGCGGTTAGGCCAAAAGATGTATTAAAAAAAACATTTTTTTTTGTATTAACAAAAAGCATTTTGATGTCCTTATCTCATTTCTTTTATTCTTGTTATTTAGAAAACAACTCAACACAAATACATACGCTATTGATGAAAATACTGTTTCTCTATAAAACTAATGCTGATTTCGTTTGTCTCAAAAAAATGTTGTTGTTCCATGGTGCAAAAAAGTTTGATGTTAGATATATAATACTGGTGGTTTTATTGGCCCATCTTTGATGAAACAGGTGATTTTGTCGCTTACGCCCTTTTCGCCGTTACAAATAAAAATCTACAGCGCGCAATTGCGGCGGTTAAGCCAAAAGATGTATTAAAGAAAAAAACTTTTTTTTGCATTAACAAAAACCATTTTGACGCCTTTATCTCATTTCTTTTAATCTTGTTATTAAGAAAACAACTCTTCAACACAAATACATACGTTATTGATTAAAATACTCCTTGCAAGAAATGCGACTAATCCAGGAAAGGAACATGCGACTAATACCACTTTTGATCTCTTTATATGGAATGAACTGTTCGCTTTTGTTCGAGCATGTCCTATGAGGAGATTAATTGTTCCCCTTTATACGCGACTATTCACTTTTAAAAAATAAAAATTTGCGCCAGCCACGATTTGAACCATGGTGCTCAGGTTTGTTAAGCGAATACTTTCTCTATGTGCCAAACGCCGCACAGGAAATTTCATTGACTAAGTGCGCACATATCATTAAATCGTTAATAGTACCCGTTAGAGATGAGTCGCAGACTAATTGATCTCCATTACTACCCGTATGAGACCAGTTGCGACTAATTAATGCCCAATTGTACCCGATTGAGAGTAATCTCGGAATACTCTCTTTAGAGATTAGTCGCACAATTTTTTGCAGGGCTGTTTCTCTATAAAACTAATGGTGACTTCGTTTGTCCCAAAAAATGTTGTTCTTCCATGGTGCAAAATGTGTTTGATGTAACACTCAACCCCATAAAAGTGCATGTTTTGCCTACTTATCCTCATTGGGCTCACGAATATCATATTGTAATTTTAAGCAACCTTCTGCTTCTCAGGGCAACCATCTCCCCTGACAAAGTATCAAAGGGCATAGGAAGAGCCTTTTTTTGCCTTATTTTAAGAAACGAGCATGGAATTTTCCTCTTCAACTGGCTCTTTAAAAGTTAAATATTCTTACGAAGAAGTTCCCTGAAATTGCAATACCAAGGGATACCATGCATCCGAGGTTCAGCTTTACAAAGAGGTTCCAAACTGATCTGAGTAATAAAAAGAGCTGGGCAGGCATATCCCAGACATATTGGATAAACCAAAACATGATTACCTGGTACACTGATGGCTCATTGACCGAAGAGGGTACCGGGGGTAGGGGTAGTTAGACCCAGAAAGAGATGCCCGGAACCCATGGGAAAACATGTATATTTTTCAGGCTGAAAAATACGCAATTGAAAGATGCGCGGACTTTAATATCAAGCGAATAAGAACATCGCGATCTTGGCTGACAGCCAAGCGGCTATCAAGGCCCTCAGATCTCACCAGGTAACATCAAAACTGGTGATGAAGGGCCTCGAAAAGCTGGATACTCTGGGTCTGGCCAATCAGATCTGAGCCCTCTGGATTGTGGGACATATTGGTATTAAAAGAAATGGGATTGCCGACAAACTAACAAAAAAAGGAGCATCAACCCCTTTCACCTGCCCAGAGCCCTTCTGTGGCTTGGGAAAGGGGGCACTCTATGCCCTTGTTCGGTTAAAGGAAGGGGCTCAAAGAAATCGCTACCGCGATAATCTACCAAGTCTAGAGCAGTCCAAAGCACTTTTAAGGACATATAACCTAAAACGATTCTAGGAATGTATGAGCTTATCAAAGAATAACTTAAGAGTTGTTAAAGGAATCCTGACAGGACATTGCAGGTTGAACTATCCCCTGACTAAACTGGGAATTTACTCGCATGAGTGATGCAGATTTTGCCGGACAGATGCCGAGACTGCACAGCACATCTTAGAAGAATGCCAATCTATACTAAAGTTTCTCTCGGATGCTGGATTAATAGACACACTATACACAGAGAAAAACTTATGTAAAATTAACTTAAATTTGGATATAGCACAACTTATAACTTAGGCTAAATTACTCTAAATCTTTGTAAGCTTTCTTCTTGGGCAAATTCAACAAAGTAGCATTTATTTTACCTAAGTCGGCTAAGTTCTTCGTTGGCGAAAGCTCTTTGGTAATTTGGAAAAGTTTCTTGATTATTTCACACCGTATAACTTTGGCAGATGGCAAAAGCTTCGTTGTTATTGTATCCTATATAACCTTGGTGATTTGCGAAAGTGTTCTCTGAAATATGTCGATAATGCAGTGATTAGGAACAATTTAGATTTTTGCCAGCCATACTTTCTATACCACAATTTAAGAGACAAAAATAAAACAAATAAGGAGCGGTATTTTTGTCAAGCAAATTGAGATATAAAAAGTATGGTTGACAAAAATCTAAATTGTTCCTCATAACTGGATTAACGGTGTTTTTTACTTTTTCGATATTTAGCAACAACTTACGGTGCCAGGTAATAAGATCAACGGAAATAAGGTCAATTGACTTTATTTCTCATCTTTTCAAAAGCGAAATAAAATCTATCGACATTATTGCTCTTTCAAACATTAAATTTGCTTAGCTTCGCGGCGGCCCACCTAAGATTTAACTGTCATCGGTGATATTAATGCTACCTTATATAACGTTTGACAGAAGACTTAACACTATTATAAATTGGAAATCAGAAGTAATATATCAGTGATGACAGGTAATAAGTCCCAGATGGTTTCTAAAATAACAAATTAGTTTTCGTGCAAATTGCAGATAGATGGTATTAATGAATTTAGGCCCTCGATATTTAAAATTTTTATATTTGTAAGTTATTGGAAGATTTCTGCTGTGTTTTGGCAACAACTTGTCTGCAGTAGAAAAGCATATAATTTGTGTGTTCAAAAGTGTGTAAAAACCAATCAATTAACTTACATGATCTCGGTTCCGATATTAAATAATCAATAATTGTTTATACCCGCTTTTTGGCATATTGGCTTGAATATGCTATCTAATAAATAGTGTCGTCGTTCTCCTTAGCTGCTTTTAAATGATGTAACAAATTGCTGGCGGGGACATGAATACAGTGTAAGAAAATTCCTTTTCTATAATTGTTTCCTTATAGAAATGTTGGTTTCTTTTCCACCTTAGACATTCCGAATTCGTTCAAAATATGCTAATTTAAAACACAGAATTCTTTCAGTGTTCCTCCGGGGTTTTTGGACATGGACTGTTTCTTCAATTTAATAGTATTCGCTTTTTTTTGTGGAAACGAAACATGTTTTGCAAGTTCGGGATCATTTCTACACTCTTTCTTCAAATCAAGCTCATATTCTAGCTGCGTTTTTCGTTTTGTTTTTCGCATCGTGTTTTTACTATATTCTTAATTTTAATTTGTTTAATAAAATCTATTGATTGTGTGTGGATTAATAGTACACGGAGGATTTGGCAATAACCTTTTTCATCTATTAAAAACAACACTTACGGGCCAATGTTTATTGTAATAACAACATTTTTTCTATGAATCGACATACTTTAAGCATTGTTGACGCTATTTCCATTTGAATGAGGAAATAGCGTCAATGACTTTATTTCCAAATTTTTGTTCACTTTATTTGGTTTTTGAAAAGGTAATCATGGTGCACCCTGGTGCGAAATAAAGTCAATTGAACTTAGTTCCGTTGATTTTGTTACCTGTCACCCAAATTACGCCATCTCGAACACAGCCCTAGCAATGATTTTATTTTAGCCTCCTCCAGTTTTTAGTATAAATTTATTAAATTACTTACTTCCGTTTCGTTAGTAATACTCATAAAGTATACAGTTAAATAAACATTTTTGCACAAATATTCCTACATTCGTTAGGTTTAGCATAAACATTAACTGAAAAAAATACTGTACAGCTTCCATATAAAAATTAAATGCGTTCTTAGGTCCATTGCATGTGATATACAATTGCTTAAAATTAAATTCGCCACCCACAACAATAACGAATGGTTGCAGGGTTGAATTATTTTCCAGGCACTGTTTTCTTTTTCTGCAATTGCCTAATTTACTTATACAATTCATGAAAACGACTTAAAAAATCTTTTATTTTAAAAATGAGATCTTGTTATAACTTAGTTTTTAAAACCAAAAGCGAATATAATGCCTTCTGGTTAATAATAAATAACACAAATCACTTATATGATAGTGATGTACAAACTTCTTTCTTCTTTAAAAATATTCATACTTTTAAAAAATATTTGTATTAACACATTTCTCAATAGAACTGCGCAATTAATAAATTTATTATAACCAGGGAATGGTTTTTATGGAAATTGCCTTTTTTTCTGCTAAAGAGATAGGGTATATTCGATTAAGAATGTCCACGATTAGCTTTCCTTGATTCCATATATACACATTTGATGTTGCCTTTTTTAAGATATTTGCCCTTTTTGCCCTTTTTGCCCTTTTTACCTTTAAAAAAGTGATTATAGCATTTACAATTCTTTTTTTTAAGATTAAAAAATATGCACATGCAAATGCGGCTTATAGAAGCGCAGGGACCTCTTGACAAAATGGGG